GGCGGCGGCGGCGGCGGCAGCAGACCGTACATGAACGGCGGAAGTACCATCGTCAGCGAAGGTCGCTCCACTCGACGCGACCGAGACGCAGCTAGTCATGTCAGTGGCCACTCGGCCCACCACCGCCACCACAATGAGCGGTTCTACGAGGAGCACGACTATGAGCGGCGCGTTCGTAAGCGCAAGTCGCGTCTGGTCAGCGTCACAGAGGACGCCTTCAATCACATCAAACGTGTCCAGCAAAGTCGAGGTAAGTGCTGTTGCCTGCTTTTGGCAAATTCTGTTTAATTGCAAGTATTTATTTAACCCCTTTCTTCCCCCCCCCCAGCTGGACCATCCATACCAATGGACCCGAAGGAGGCGGCTCAGGCGATCTTTCCCTCTATTGCAAAAACACTGCAAAAGTACTTGCGCATCACCCGACAGCAGTCTCGACACACCGTGCAGTCAATACTATCGCACCTGACCACCTGTCTCAGTTACGACCTCAGCCCGAAAACCTTCCTCGAGAAGTATCTGAGCAGTCCGCCAGTGCTGGCGAATGACGGCGAGTGGAAGCCCATTCAGACGTGGAATCTCATTTGTGATACGCTACTGTCGCGTTCCATCGAGTCGGGCACAACGTTTCTGCTGAGACAAGGTGATGTATCACTGCTGGTCACGGTGCACAATCTGCCGCACTTTAATATAGCCGAACAAGTGATCGACCCAAAGACCAATAAGTTTGTGTTTAAATTAAATTCAGAAACATCTGTGTAGGCTTCACAGCCAGCACACACACACACACACACACACCGTGGTCACTGCTGTGAATGGCCGCTGACAGACGACGCATATAGACCACTCCTTTTTACATAATAAAGGCTAAAGAGATGCCTTCATTTTCCCATGTACATTCTTAGCTCTTTTTTTACTTTATTGCTTTTCTACTTGTTTGTGCTACTTTTTTCTAAAAACTTTTTGTACACTTATTTGTTTGACTTGTAAATAATCTTTTTACTCAGTGAAGTCATGTTTTGTCACGTTGAATCTCAAATAATAAAAATACTCACTTTAAAAGTTTCATTGCTTTTTGTATGTCTATTTTACGATAGGATTTCCGTTGGTACGACTGAACTAATTTAATGCCGGCATTTAAACTTATTATTCAACGTTGTGTGATTTTATCTATGCAGAGTTTCTGAGCTATTTGTGGCAAACTCGTTCCCTAAAAGAAAAAATGTTACTCTTAGCAAGAAAGCTAAAAAGGCAGTTCCATCTAGTGTTAGATTCACATTGTAAAAGAAAAAATTTTATTAAAACTCGAGATGTTTTACAAATAAATGATCACATTCCGAATGATTGCTCACTCTAACATCGAAGTTTCATTCGTAATGAATTAAAAAGTGCATAATTACACAAAGCTAACTTCAAGGTTGCAAGATGACTAATTGTACAAAAAGTGTATATACAAAACAAATAAATGACTTGTAAACGTATGATACAGACAAAAATGAACTACTAGTGACTGAGTTCGGTGGTCAGAGACCAGTCCGACTATGGCAATTCTTGGTAGCCAGATTCGTTATCACAGCTAGTGAGAGTATTGATGGCCGGCTCGGCGGCTTTGTTGAACTGTGCCTTGTCCTTTAGCGTGAAATAGTGCACTGGGCCTTTGCCAGCAACTCGACTTGCTTCGTCTAAACTGTCACCATAAGAAGGTGAGCGAAAGTTGGCATGCCTTTCAATCAGCGGATTTGAAATGATATGTCGTTGAGCAGACGGTTTATAAGTTGCCTCAATCTCCATCTGAACGCGACTTTTGGTGTTTCGATTGAGTGTGCTTCGAGGAGACGGCTGACCGATTAGTGCAAAAGAAGAGTCGCGACTTGATTCCCATTCAAACGGTGATTTTTTCTGCAAAAAAATATTTGTTTGTTAGCAGAGTTAATTAATAAAAACCAATTTAAAAGAAACTTACTTTGCCATAACAATCACCAGCAAGTGAGTTTAACTGAGACTGATTTGAATGATTTGCCTTTGGACTGGCTCGAGAAAGAGATCCATATTTGTACTGATTTGTGATCAGCTTTGAAGGAGGTATCTGAGTGACATTGGTGCTGTAGACCGAAGAATCTGCGTAAAAGTTTGCATCTTCGTAATCATTGGTTGGTCCGATCAGCGGTTGTACTTGTTGCTGGTTCACTGTCACCCCACCTGCACTGACATGGTTTTTAGAGAAAGAATTTAAATCGGCACCTTTTTTGCTTCGATCAGCGTAGTAAAGTTGATTGATGCCATTTCGATCAATGGTAGAAAAGGGATGCCTCGCTTTGGTACCAATCTGAGTCGTCCAGTTGTGACCAGCATTGGGCCAAGCTGAAACATTGGTGGTGTTGTAGGCGTTGTTCTTTGCCGAAATAATGCTTGATGAAGCGTAGGCTACGGGAGAATCACTTGCAATGCCATTTGAAGAGGCGTAGTAAGCGGTCTCATAGTTATTGTCAGTCTGAGAGACTTCAGCGTAGTCAGCTGCCTGTTCATCGGTGGTCACTGTTGAGTAGCCGTTCTGATCTGAAGGATGAAAACTGGACGATATTTTGAGAGTGTTGTTGATGCCAGTAATCTGCTTTGCGTCCATTGGCTGACGAGAGCTGGTTTTCCAGCTGTACTGCCACTGACTGGGGTACAGGCTACTGTTCTGTGACTTCATTTCACGATTGATAGTAAGTCCATCGTTGCCTTTCTTTAAAATGGAGTTGCGTTTCTTGTAGAGCAGAACTCCCAGAAGAAGTACAATCAAACTGAGAATGATCAGCGTGATGATGAGAACGCAAATCCAAACATTTGACATGTTAGTGGCGTCAAAGCCAACGCCGGCTAGATCAGAGAGAAGAGGATCCATGATAAAGGTGAGTGGAGATGAAGGCGGACCATTGCCCATTGTAGTGAAAGCAAGAATTTGAATGACATATTCAGTTTCCGAGCTTAGATTGCGCAACAAGTATGAAGTGGTGTTGGCATTGATGGTTAAGTTGATATTGTACGGAGTGTAGGTGCCCTGCACAAAAAGCTTGTAGCCCAGCAGCATTCCATTGAGGTGCTCCGGCGGTGGTGGCTGCCAGCTGACCAAAGCACTGGACGAAGTGACTGGCTGTGCTTTGATGGAGTTTGGAGGCGCCGATGGGACGTCCTCCAAAGTGCGCACAATTCGAGTATTGCTGGGCTTTCCGTCAATCGACTTGTAGAAGGGCACAACAAAAAACTCAAAAATGTTGTATTTCGGCAAGTTTGTCAGCAGATATGTGGTGGCACCGCCATTGTAGACAGTTACCATGTTGTAAGTGTTTTCATCCGAAGCAAAGTTATCCGGATCGACGGCTCTGTAGCGAATGTAAAATCCTTCAACAAACTCCTGATTTCCTCTAACTTCCCAAAAGAGCTTCACCATTGAAGAGTTAATGGCGCGGACGTCCTTCAACTCCACTACAACATTTTCCAGTTTGTGTCGTGCCTCAATGGAGTCCACAAGATTACTGGAAACAGGAACATCCACTTCATGAGAGCCTAGAGTTCGGGCTTCATTGGAAATGGCGCTTGGCGGGCCGATGCCGTGACTGTTTTGAGCCCTAACAATAAAGTAGTATCGGGATCCACTCTTCAGACCATGAACAGTGTGAACCTCTCCAGTGACTGGCTGAGCCACTCTCAACCACTCATTGTGATGATCAGGACTGAAGTACTCGATAATGGTGGCGATGACAGGAGAAGCTCCGTCGCGACCTACTCGGCGCCATGAAATGGTGATTGAAGACTCGGTGCTGTTCACAATGCTCGGGCGACTGGGTGCGTTTGGAAAGGTAGACGGGTCTGGCATTCGATGGAACATTGTATTGGTGCTGTGGGCCGGTGCGACTCGCAGTGTCGCCGACCAGCTCGACTGACCATTTTCAGAATGGATAGCGCACTGGTAGATGCCAGAGTCGGATAACTGCAAATCTGTAAACAAAAAGAATTGGTTAAAATTGAATATAATAACAAAACTTTAACAAAAAACACAAACCATCAATTTGCAGTGTTCCAGAGTCAAGCAAGGTGAATCGTGGATTGCTTAAGGGAGCTGGACTACCGTTTAAAGTCCATTTTAGAGAAGGCATCGGTGTGCCGGCGACTTCACAAGGTAACACAGCTCGGGTTCCCTGAGCTAGCGTTTGATTTATTGGTCCAAGAATTATCAAAGGTGGAGGTATATCGGCAGATGAGCTGACATTGAGAAATGCTTTTGCAGTGGACGATCCAACAACTGATAAAGCTGAACATATGTAAAAGCCCACATCTTCTCTTTTAACTGAAGATACTAGTAGTGATCCATCAGAGGTAACAGAAAATCGCCCGTATTTGTTGTCTGGAAACATTAAAATTTGATTGCCTTCCTTAGTCCAGAAAACCGAAGGCCGTGGATTTCCAGTAGCAACGCACTCAAACCGAGCAACACCGTTTACATTAGCCCGAATGTCTTTTGGTTCAATCAAGAAGTTTGGACGAGCTGAAAAAAATAAATGCAAAAATTAGTTTACGCATACTAAATTAATATGTTGCACTTGGTTCAAAGAGAACTAAGGAAGAGATTGCGAGTGAAATGAAGTTGGTAGTACTTACAGTGCACGATCAAAGAAGCCGATGAAGATATCTGGCCAACCAGGTTTTCTGCTTCGCACACGTATACCTGAAGAAGGGCAGAGAAAGGAGGCAACTTATTAAGGGTGCTCTAATGTCAGACGAAAAATAATTGAATGGCCTTGTTAGGTGCCCATTGTCATTATTAATATTAATGATCACATGGAAATTTCATGCAAATGTGCCCTTACTGAACAAGATTTCAATAATAACCGAAAACTGGTCAATCGATTCACCAAGTTTACTAGTTTATATGAGCACGACTTTTGTTATTGCAAAATAAACTTCAATTGCACCTTTTAGTAAAATTTCTGTGAATCACTTACCCCTTCATCTTCTTCGGTAACATGAGAAATTCTGATTGATTTGTCTTCAGTGAAAATGGTTCTGGAAAAAAGGCATAATATTAGCAATTAAAATGAACAGTAAAGTAGTAGACATTAGTAGTGCAAATTACCGAGAAGTTGGAATTTTATTGCCTTCACGACGCCAGGTAACTTTGGGCAGGGGATCACCACCCACCTTGCAGTGTATTTCAGCGGCTTCGTTAGAAAGAGCTATTACGTCTTCAGGTTTTCGCACAAAAAACGGCTTGACTGTGGGCGAATGTTGGTGATGGTGGTAGTGGTGATGAACATGTTAGTATGATGATAGAAGATAGCAGTACAATCAACAGTGCAAACATGCATGTAACGTCAAAGTCACTACTGTTGTCTCCACTCGTTCACTTACCTCGCACGTTTAGCTGCGCTGGCGGAGACTCTCGTGCGCCACCCAAATTTTGGGCCAGGCACTGATAGCGGCCAGCATCTTCAGGCTGAACGTCAGCTATGATCAGATTGCCGGCGGATAAGCGAAAACGAGCTTCAATCGACACAAACTCGCCATCCTTTTTCCACTTCACTTCAGGCTCAGGATAGCCACGAGGGGGTGAGCATTCAAGCACCGCCATTTCGCCAACCGCTACCCAAACGTTTTTGGGCAGAATTCGAAATTCATCTCGAATGGCTGTAAGGATAATCAAGGTGTTAGAACACAAATGATCAGTTGCAGTTGTGAATGCACTGTCAGGGAGTGAGAGTACATAAATTGCACAGAAAAAAGTGTAACTTGAAAGTGATCGATGCTTTCAGCGTACTAAAAAAACAAGTGGCTATTTGTGAGGAAGAAACAGGAGTGTCTAGGCGGCACTTCACCCGCAATATGCATTAGGTTTATTGATGATTGATGCCGCTTTTCACCGCTGATGCAGTTGCCAGCTTTTGACAACTTTCATGACATGCACTTTCAGAATTGTTAACATCAAATCAAAATGCAAACGTATACACCTCTGTCTTTATAAAATGTTGAGCAGCTTGGCAAAAAACATTGTAAAATCAATACAATAAATTTTCATCACACGATGTTTCCATTCAATTAACTTTCCAAGCAATGAATCTTAATTATCGCTTATTGAAACAGCCTATACTGATGCTGAGCCGATTTAATGAGCATTGATTTATTGAACAAACCTAGAAATATTGAAAGTGGTAGACGTAAGAAAATCTAGATATACTTTTTGAGCCAGTTGACTAATGGAAAGCTAAAATTGACGCCAATGGCAGGTGTGTGTGACCACGCGCACTCAATGCCTGGCAAGGGCTTTTGTTTATGAAACTTTAATTAAAACACTTTGTGGCATCGTTGGAACATCAGTAAAGAAGCCGTCTTCTGTAGTCTCTGAGCATGGAGCCTAGCATCGAGCGGCCAATCAATAATGGATGAATAGGCCAATGAATGGCGTCTGGCGGTGTAGTGGCGGAAGCGGTGGCTCACTGTCGGTACACTCTCGGGTCTGACGGCGAGCCGCGCCGCCAAACCGAGCGGTAACAAATGGCGGCGTCGTTCAGATTTGACAGGCGCCACTTGGCTGCTGCCCTCTCTCTCTCTCTCTCTCTCTCTCTTCTTTTTCCTTTTTGCCTGCTCATTCAGTCTACTGTTCGCTGCTGGCTGAAATGTATTTTATTTTCTATCTAGGCTTAATTTGTACCTAAGATTGATACTGGAGGTGAGGGTACAGCAAAGGGGCAGGATGCAGTACACAATTATGTGTGGCAACAAGAAAAATGGAAAAACATTTTCTCTGGCAGCAGCAAGTGAGCTTCGGTAAGGAAAGAATGGAACGAGTCAGTCGGATGAAGACGAAATTACACTCTGGAGATGGGCCCTACGCTCGTCTTATTGTGGCCTTTGCTCAGCAGCCCTAATGACTGCTCCAATTGGACTGGTAAATCTGTGCCATTTGCCCTTATTATGGTGCTAGAAGAGTGCCATTCAATGCACCAAGAGAGAAAAAGAGAGAGCTGAGAGGGTATGCTTTTAAGGCAATTTTGCGAACACCATTAAAGTGGCCAAACAAATGAAGAAGCGCGCGATTTAAGTGGAGGCGGTTTTGAGATTGTCTTCTCCTGCAGTACTGTAGATTTGAATCAAAATCTAATTTTTCCGCCTGGACAACACTTTAAAGTAGCGAAGCAAATTTAATTAGTATACGTTAGCCTCATTGTTGCATTATCGCCTGCGATGCCTTCTTGTGATACTCTTTTTAGCAAGACACATAATTGCCGTAAGAGCATAATTGTGCGCAACAATTGACCGCTCTAGTGTAGTGAAATGTAGAATACTCAAGAATAGAGTTTTAGATATATTATTAATTGTCTACTAAAGGGAGTCTAACTTAGTGCAATAGCATCGGAGTAGCGAAATGATGCAGTTGCATAGGAAAACGTGTCTGCTTGCGGACAATGACCGACACTGCCTGGTTAGAAGTGGGCGCAAAAAGTGGGATAAGATTAGAAAATTCAAGTTTTTTTTTCAAAAATATGGACATTATTACGACACAAAATGCCAACACTTTCATCATCATCTTACTCAGGTGTATGACTTTTAAGGCATGAACAATGACTCATCTTTTGCCCAACCAGTCAGTGATTGCTTCAAGCACAAAGTCTGACATTACTGAATTGCATTGTTTTTACGTTTTTAAAAAGTGCATAGCAAATATTGAACTCCAAATATGTGTGTGTGTGCATTAATCAACCGAAATACGACATTACTGTGCCGACTACACCTGCGAGACCTCAACGACATTTTCAATTAGTCTCGTGGCAAGGTGTAAACATGTGCCATGTCACTGTGAACCGATATATCACCTAGATGCGATGCAACCTGAGCACAAGTGAGACTCAGAACAGCTGACAATTGTCTGCCTATTGTGTGGCAGTGTGAAATGGCAAATTAATGGATGGTTGCTGGTGGAGCAGCAGAACAGTTTTCTCGTTGGCTAATGCAAAAAGCGAATAGTTGGCAGAGAAAGGCGGCAAGTGTGGTGGCGGTGGTGGTGAAAATAATCTTCAAAACTGGCAAAGTGGGCGCAGAAAATTGAATTGTACTTGTTTGACTATTTGATTATCTAAACGCCAAGTCAACTTGAGCCCCCACTGCCACTATCTACTACGCGGCGGCAGAAAGAAAAGTGAAGCCGCTGTAGTACTACCACTGCTACTAGCCAAAGACAAACAGTGAGAAGCAAGCATGGCCATTTCACAGAGCGAATAAACTTTGCACAAAGCACGGAATCTTCCTTGAAAGACAAATACTAGGGAGAAAGGAGAAGGAAAGGGAAGGAAAGAGAAGGCAAGGCAAGGAAAGAGAAGACAAGGGAAGGCAAAGGGCACAGCCAGTTTGGGCAGAGCTACTCACAGGCGATCTCAACGGTGGCGTTGTGACTTCGGGCCCGTCCATGTTCGTTCGAGGCGACGCAGTGATACACACCGGTGTTCTTTTCTTTCTTGTCGTTGGTTACTTTCAATATGAAAAGGTCACCGTTTCCCAGAAAAATGTAATTCGGTGATTTATGAACCAATTCGTTGTCTTTGTACCTGCAAAAGCAAATATTTGAAAGTTCGTATTTATGCAAATTTGCAGCAAGTTCAGGCGTTCTTCAGGACAGCCGCAGTCACTGCAGTTCAGTGCAGTAGTTTGGCGACGCCAATGACAAATGGGCAGCATCATTTGTTAGTGTTCACTGGCAGCAGTGCCACCGCCAGCATCGGTCTTGCACTGCAAATGTCATAGCAGAGGACGGCTACTGCATCCAAAGCACACTTACCATTCAATTACGGGAATCGGTTCCCCATCCGCTTTACATGATAACGTCAACTATTATAAATATAAATAAATAAATATAAAAGTTTGAGAGCATAAAATGACCACAGATGGTACTTACGGGCTTTTGCTTGCGGATGATGTTGTTTCGTAGTGGGTGTTCACGTATTGTGGGTGGTCTTGCTCTTGTGCTTTGATGTTCTGTCAAATGAAAGAAAGTAAAAAATGTTCTCAAATTAGTATCGGTTGCATAGCCTCAATTGCTGGTTACTTCAAATGAAAAATAGTAAAGAGAATAGAAAAACGACTGCGACCCCGGTAGTGAGAACCAGTAATTAGTCCTCTAGTGACATGGCCTGACAAAGGTGTCCGCTTCCGCAGAGGTGGCCAAATGGTAGCCGCGCACAGTGTCCATTGTACCCGAACACGGTTCGTGCTAATTGTTTTGTAGTGGAGAGGTGCCAGCAGTGGCCAGCACTGCCAACCAGCTCCGAGCTGGNAAACACGGTTCGTGCTAATTGTTTTGCAGTGGAGAGGTGCCAGCAGTGGTCAGCACTGCCAACCAGCTCCGAGCTGGACTGCACGACAGTGCACGACATCCACAATGAGTGCAGCATAATAATTAGCGTAATTACATTGATGTTATCACTCCTTCTGCCCGGTAGAAAACTCTCTATTCTCCCTCATTGCCTCACTGGGAGTTGCTTTCTGGCAGCCCAGTTACTAGGTGCCCAGCAATTAATCAATCCCAATAAATCTTTTGCCTAGAACGTGCACCTGCAAGGGACGGCCAGGAAACGGTGACCAGGTCAAAAGTGGACAAGTTTCAACGCTTTATTAGCGCAAACAAATGTGTCAGCGGGTGGTACGGCTGCTCCGANCAGCAATTAATCAATTCCAATAAATCTTTTGCCTAGAACGTGCACCTGCAAGGGACGGCCAGGAAACGGTGACCAGGTCAAAAGTGGACAAGTTTCAACGCTNACTGGGAGTTGCTTTCTGGCAGCCCAGTTACTAGGTGCCCAGCAATTAATCAATCCCAATAAATCTTTTGCCTAGAACGTGCACCTGCAAGGGACGGCCAGGAAACGGTGACCAGGTCAAAAGTGGACAAGTTTCAACGCTTTATTAGCGCAAACAAATGTGTCAGCGGGTGGTACGGCTGCTCCGAGCTTTGCCTAGCTGGACAAAAGCTGGGCGCCTCCCGAGTGTGTGCCAGTTTGTGCAAGTGAGCGAACACGGCGCCAAACGTTGCCAGACGTGCCCCTCGGTTTTCTATGCAAGCGACACAATGCCGTTCAGCTGTTTCTCAATAGCACAGCTATTTGCATCTCAATGAATTGGCCTCCTCGGAGAAACGATTTAATATCAAGATTTACAACAGGCATTCAATTGCAGATGCTTTATATGTGATTGGACGATTCAGCTAACTATCGTACTTCTGATAAAACGCTTTCAACTGTTTCCACTGAANAGCTATTTGCATCTCAATGAATTGGCCTCCTCGGAGAAACGATTTAATATCAAGATTTACAACAGGCATTCAATTGCAGATGCTTTATATGTGATTGGACGATTCAGCTAACTATCGTACTTCTGATAAAACGTTTTCAACTGTTTCCACTGAATGCCTTTCAAAACAGTAGAAATGGTAAAAATTACAGTACCGATCTAAATAGAATGCTGAGCTAAATGCCCTCAATTTTACCNTGCCCTTCTAAACAGTAAAAATGGTAAAAAATACAGTACCGATCTAAATAGAATGCTGAGCTAAATGCCCTCAATTTTACCTGACAAGTGACTGATTGTACTGTATGGTTATCGCATGTGGTAATCTGGAGGATAAATCGAACGTTGAATCTGTAAGCCAGAACAGCGTGTGAGGTTGTCTTTGAGGTTGACTCCCTGTCATCACCTAGATCGTGCAAACGAGTGGTTTACTGTGATTTGTGTGCTGCCTTGATGCTTGCCATACACAAAAAACAAATAGCATCATTGTCATTTAAGCCACATAAATAACGGCATAAGTTTTAGTTGTAAAAATTAATTGCCTATGAAACAGTTACATTACAATTCTCCTTGCAAAGGTCAATGCAGAAAACCTATCTTTGCTTTTTAAGGCTTGGGACACACGTAAGACATCGTAAGACGTAAAACAAACAAAACAATTAATGTTGTACTTAACCAAGCAGCAACTCGAAAGCTAAATTCTATTGATTCCGTGTCAATTCTAGGGCAACGTTTCATTCAACAATAAGCGTAAATGATTGTTTGCTTTCAATTCGAATTAAATTCGGTAAAAAAAGCACAAAACACAAAACGATGGCTATTTCAAACGTATAAATCAAAGTTAGCCTAAGCAATAGAAAGTAGGCTCATGATTGTGTGTCATGGGAAAACCAAAGCAACAAACAGTCAACAAAACTATTTCTCAAAAGTCTTAAAACGTCATTGCGTTATTTATCTTTTCAGTAAAAATCGCTTTTCAAGTAAAGTATGCTACAANCAGCCTAAGCAATAGAAAATAGGCTCGTGATTGTGTATCATGGGAAAACCAAAGCAACAAACAGTCAACAAAACTATTTCTCAAAAGTCCTTAAACGTCATTGCGTTATTTATCTTTTCAGTAAAAATCGCTTTTCAAGTAAAGTATGCTACAAAATGGCTAAAAATAATCAGTCCAAGATCCCACTTAAAATGATAACATTGATGGTGTGTCGATTGTGCATAAAAACATTTATTTCACTCCTAATTACATTATAATTTACAGTTAATAGAATCATTTTGGCACTTTTAACTTGATTTATTTTAATAAAAAAAGTAAAATGTTTTTGTAGAGCATCGATTGGTGGAATTTAGTGGAACAACTTTTGCCGTAAAAAGTGGGCAAACCTGGCAAGTGATCGATGTCGATGTGTCTGCCTACCAGCATCCAACTATCGATTACTACTGAGCTCTGTTTGTCGTGCATTTTCTTTTATCTTGCCGCGTCTATTCTTTAGCCATTTCTTGAGACAACTCGCCTTGATTAATAATTTAGTGCTAGATGCGTAGATTTATTGGCCTTGTCTGAAACACAAAAATGAAAGAAAACAGAAGCAGTTTGCTGTAGTAGTAATGTCGCAAGTCTTTCGTAAATGCTAGAATTATTTTGCTATAAATCTATTAAAGCAATAAACAACTGACAAACGGCAGATTGGGTGCCACACATGTGCCTCTCTCAGTATGCGTACTAGAACTAGTGAAAATTTTAGGCAAGTCCAACACGTTCACTTCTGACATGAAAAAGAGTTAAAGCAAATTGCACGTGGCATTAGTGCTGGTTTCCAAAATTGTCTGCTGACCACTGTCACTGGAAAATAGTGGACTCTAATTAAGAAGAAGCACATGTCAACTTTTGCTTGCACTTTTGCTTGTGCCCAGTGGACTTGACAGCTACAGAGAATAATCGTATATTTTTGAAAGAACAGTAAGTGCACTTATGACTGCCATTTATACAATTTGCTCAGATTGATTGAAACTGACACTGACACTACACCACAAAAGTGTGCTCAATGGTCAAGTCATCAACTCAATCACAATAGAGCTTTGTCCTGTGCTCAGATATGCACAGTGCTCGTAAACCTAATTGCTCGTTGTACAGATTGGGCGATTGTGTGTTCCTCAATGAACACAATAGCTTAGGCATTAAAACTAAT